TTTTTACCGTTGGACTACTAACAACGAGATCTTCGATTCTAGTTTAGATTGTTTCGGCTAAAAGTCACTCGATCTCATATTCGAGTTTCGGGCTGCATATTGCTAAGTCGAAACTTAGAAAAATCATAACTTCCTATTACGAAGTCAGATTTAGACGTTCTTTTTATGCACGCTCTCGGTTTAACGAACTCTTCGACTTCCGTTTAGATCACTAAGGCTAAATATCGCTCTATCTTAAATTCGTATTTTACGTCATACAGTGTCGTGTCGGTTCTGTCGCGAAAGTTCAACAGGTCATAACTTCTTCGTTATAACTCGGATTTCGGCATTCTTTATATATTCGGAAACCTTGCCACGACCACTACAACTTCCTTCATAGATATCAGGCTTATCTAATATTTTATTTTATCATTTATTTTTATCCTAAATTCATTTAAATCACACAATTAAGCAATAAACATATAATACTCAAATAATACATTCTTATTATTTCAAAATGAGTTACAAAGGTTAACCTAGGCTACAACATCAACATTAATGTCTAGCCAGAAACACGGGCATTACAAATCATATTTTACTTTGTTTTATATGTTTTCTAACAATATTATTTTTTATAACTTTAATTTTATGTCCTTTTACATGTGCTTTCACATGTAAATGCTTGCTATTGAAATTATATTCCTTTTTTAAAATCTAATATTATGGTTAATGGAATATAAATGAGATTTTTACATATTTGTTGAGTACAATCTTTATATGATGTAATAACAATATTTCAATAATACATTTACTTTTATATATCACTATTTTCAACATATTTTATTATAAACTTTTAAACATAACTTACACATACCTAAACATTAGATTTTTTTATTATTTAATATGTATATTTTTTTAAATATTATATTAATTGTATAAAAAATAAGAACATGGATATATTTCAACTAATGTGCCATATTATAAAGTTTAATAAAAACATTTCAACTACATCTCACATACTAGCAAATTGTAGGTTTCTATTTTCTTTGTTCGTAATTTAATCATAATTTGTCAATATGTTAAAAAAAATTAATTTCTACCCCTTTGTTCAACATATAAATATTATATATGAATTACTTATTGTGTACTGTTAGACATGTTATTTTATTAACTAAATCGAGTTATCTATTAACGTTGCAAACATACAATGCATTCAATTTCTTCTAAAAAGACTAAATAATTAAATAGTTTCCTCCTAGATAATAATACAAATAATATTAAATTGGATACTACATCAACACATCTATCTGCAACAACTAAAACTATTGATACTTCAACAAATTTTTCGTCCGCTGCAAATAAATATTGCTCGACACTGGTTACCGATGCTTACAAAGGTACGTTTATTTCTTCAATTTTATTATAAAAAACCACGCTTCTTACCTCCTTATACATTTTATAGCCTATCATATTATCGTTTATGCAGAAAACAACAATAACATGTACCACTTTCAAGCCAGAGAGAATAGAAGACAAAGAAAATTATATTTGCAAAATAAAAGATCGAAGAAATTAAATCTAAGATCCAACGTTCCAAGTACATCAATACCGCATATCTTAAAAAACATCGATAACTGTGAATTTTTATTTTATATTCCATGTTTTGTTATTACTTTACATTTATATACAATACATGATTAGTTAAATTTTTTATTAGCCTGCATTACTAAATTATTTTACCTCATTACTTTATTTTTTATGATATGTCTTTAATTTTCAAAACTTTTTCTTACTTACAGATCAATCAACCGGTGTTGTTCGTCAAAATGAAAATGTTAATTCATTTAATTGGCCAGTAATCCAAAATACAACCGTACAATATTCTCCTTAATTTTCAAATGTTAGAACTCCGTTATCTAACATTACAAATGTTAGAACTCCGTTATCTAACATTACAAATGGTAATAATTTTTTCTGAAAGTACTATTATTCAATTTGCATATAATCCGGATATATATACCAAGTTTATTTATTTTGTTCAGATAACAGTAGTTTCGATAAACATGCCACTACCAACCTACCAAAGAAAAGACAGTACTATGTACTTTCAAATGATATGACATCGAAAAATGCATCTACAATAACAGGTTCTTCATCAACAACAAAATTTATTAATTTTAGATAAAGATGGCTGACTTACAAATAAAACTTTCAATGTTGTTTATAAGGAAGTTTTTCGAAATTTATAGCCAACTTTTTTGTAGCATCTTTTAGTCATTTTTAGCAAATCACACTTAATCCATCATATTACTTTATTTATTTATAATTACGTATTGTATTTTTTTTTATGTTAATTTCATTACACACAATGGTAATGCATCATCTGCGTATGTTCAACGAGAATCATGCACCAAAAATAAAGGTTTTAAAAATCTTCAATTCTAATTAAATACTTACCATTTACTGTGTAATTAAATACTTACCATTTACTGTGTAATTAAATACTTACAAATCATAAAGTTATTGAAAAATGCAATATTACAATTCATAAGTTTTCTAAATTAATAAAATATTATTTTATTATATAATTAATTTTTAAATTCAATTAAAAATCAACACCCGTGGGTTCCACGGGTTTTAACCTAGTATTTGTATATATAACAAATTTACGATAAATAGATCTTCCAATTTTATACGGAATATAATATAACTTATACATCTACCCTAATAAATAAAGATAATTTTGCCAAATGTCAACTTCTTATTGAATTTGACACATGTCATTTTCTTAGAATTTTAAAATTATTTTATTTTCACTTGTCATTTTTGTATTTGTTTTTTCATTTTTATTCAATTTCCACCTATTAAATGCCACTTCATAGTAATTATTGTGAATTAATGTATATAGTAAACCTTCCATTTGTGAATTCTTATTTCTATTAATATATTAATAAATTCCATTTATGAATTTATATTAATTAGTTTTATTAGTATAGATTAATT